CCCGCTTCCAGCCCCGCTTCCAGCCCCGCTTCCAGCCCCGCTTCCAGCCCCGCTTCCCGGCGTGCTGTGCGGGAGGCGGTGCCCCGGCGCTGGGAGGTGGTGGCGGCGGAGGTGCCCGGGGCTGGAGGAGGAGCCGTCGCCGCCTGCTTTCTCTCTGTCCGCTGCCGCCGCTCTGCCGGGAGGGGCGGCCGCCCCGCGCCCCCGGCCCCGCGATGCCGCTCTTCGCCACCAACCCCTTCGACCAGGATGTGGGTAAGTGGCTCCCGCGGCGCCCTGGCCCGGCCTCCCACCAAGGGAACCCCGCGGGCGGCCGGCCCCGCTCCCCCGGCCCTCTGCTGCTGGGCTCGCTGGCGCCCCGCCGGGAGCCGGGAACCGGGATCGGCGGCGACGGCCCGGCCGGGAACTGTCGGTCACGGTGCGGCCGGGCCGGGGCCGCCTCCCGGTGGGGCCGGCGGGGACTGCGGCCTGGGCGGTGACAGCGCGGGGCTCCTGCGGGCCCTGCCGGCCTTTGGGGCTGGGGGCGAACGCGGGGTGCCCGTGCGGGACGGGCCGTCCGGCCCAGCACAGCAAAACAAGTAGTGAGAAAGGTCCGCGCTGGAGTGTTGCTGAAAGGATGAACAGTAGAAAGCACCGTCTACAGTTGCTTCACAGACAGGCATGAGAAAATCGTCAGAGCGTTTTGTTTGGTGCTTTAAACTGTATTCCTGTGGGAGCTTTCTTTTTTTTCTTTCAAGTGGAACTTGACGTTCTGTGATCAGGTGTCATGCCCAAATTGCTTCTTCCGAGACCAGACTAGATGGAGAAGAAATGTCTGGCTTTTACTTGACAAAAATTGTGCTTAATGCTGATGTGTCCAAACTGAAGGTAAAATGACGTATAGGCAGTTAAAATTAGTTTTGTACGTCTGATTTGTGATTGTGTAATATGGTTTAACCTGCTGCTCACATCAGTTTTACTTTGAGTCATAAAACTTTTGTCTGAGGAATCAGGTAATGTGGCTAAGTATCCCACTTCCACCGCCCACCTCCCCATTATTTTCTTACAGCAGCGTAACACTCTATACGTTTCTTGAAACCAATTTCTTTGTAACTTTCAACTACATCGATACATTGTTTCTTAAGGTTTAGCCAATTTTAGAAGTCTTGGCTGAGATTTAGTTCTTCCAGCTCTTAAAGAAAACAAACAAAAACCTCAAAACTGTCTGAAAAGTATGTGTCTTTTCAGGGGAAGGGATTAGTGCATAAACAAATTACTGTGACATGAATTCTGTATGTATGTATGTATGTATGTATGTTCGTTCTCAGAAATTCTTTGTCTGTTGCATCTTAATAAGGCATAGCTTGCTCTTCTCATTTTGAACTGTTAAGAAAACTTTTAACCTGCACTTCAGTTAATGATTTTGTTGGTAGCAGAGTTGACTGAGTTATTTTGGAAAGCGGTAAATAATTCTTCCTAATTGTTCTGCTGTTCTAATGTAATTTGGCAATTGAAAGTGAGGAAGAGATTGTACTGCTTGCCAGTTTTCCATGGACCATTAGAGGATTGAAACATTGGTGATAATGTCTGTGAGAATGATTTGAACTAATAAGATTAAAAAGTGATAGGCTCAGGTTCTGGCAGATGTTCACTTTTTTTACTTCCTAAGGCTGCTGGCTGGCAGGGAAGCTCAGGCTGCTTGAATTGGCTTCTCTAGAGGTCTGTCCAGTGGATGTGCTTGTCAGCACTGTGAGTCTCACAATGCAGGGTAGTAGCACTCAGCAGCTACTTCAGTGGTTTATTTCCTGTCTTCTGTGTGCAGAGGATGCCAACACCTTACCTACTGTGCTTGCCTAATATGACCATCAGTTAATATTTTTCAAAAACGTTATTCTGTGAAGTGTATGAGGAGAGGGAAATAACCAGTCGATCCCAAATTGTTCTTGGAAAAGCAGATAGTGGGCAATGGGCTAATTTTGACTGGTAAACACAATTTCTTTCTTTTGACCTCTTTCATGGTGTCCTGAGGGAGACCTGAGGAGCAGCAGGCTGTTCAGTTGGTGACAGCCTCCTTTCAGGAGCCTGGTACCTTTATCCATCACTTAACTGGATCTGTGCCAGGGAGATGGGAATGGTGAAGTTTCCCAGAAAGTGTCCCTAGGCTCTTCTTCTCCGGGGGCCCTTGGGAATGTGCTATTATCTGGATGAATTTCTTGGCAGGCTTCACAAGATAACATCATCTGTAGAGTAAGCTCTCATGTTGTCAGGAAACTTCTAAAAGTTGTCAAACCGTAGTGTTATTTTTCAGTTCTTTTCTCAGAGTGAAAATTGAGTGCTCTGCTTTTGTTCTTGTCCAGCAAGAAAGTTTTCTTTTGAAAATCAGATTCCTGAAGCAGAAAAGCAGTCAGAAGCTATTCTTAATTTAATATTTGAACATTGCTGTAGTTGATAGTACTGCTGTGGTAGCTGTGCATTCTTGTCTACTGGACAGCTGCTCAGTATTGTAGAACAGTTGGATATTATTTTGGAACCATTTAGGATGATGGATTGCAGAGAACGTATCTGGAACTAAATTATTTTCCATTGTTTTGAGGAGCATAAGTATCGCTTAAGTTCAGGAGAATTTTTTTTAGTTTTTCTGGCCAGTTAGCAGCACTTAGCTAGTCCTGTTAGCATGTTGCTGCTGTGGAAGCTGGTCATCCAGCTTACTGTTTAGAGTCAACCTTGTACAGAGATTTTGAGGGGTGCACCTCTTTTTTTTTTTCAGGTGTGGTTGGCAAAAGAATGTTGTTTAAGACTGCTATTAAATTAATAATATTAAAGAATGCTTTAAGCTGCCCATGTATTTGAGGAGGTAAGCCATTGTCATCCTCAAAGAGTGCAAATCTCTAGATGAAGCCCAAATAATTTTCATTTTCTGAACCTTCATTTTACCATACTTAGGAATATTTCAATAGGAAGGGATACTAATCAGTGGTGACACAAGTTGGTGTGGGTTTTCACAATGAAGTCAAGGAACCTTTGACAGTGTGTCCAAGTAAGGAACATAATATTGGAATTTAACAAAAGAAAAAATCTTCAAGATGCTGGGCCTGCTGAGAGTATAATTAAGAAACTCTAATCCTCCATTTAAAGGGTTAGAATTAATGGTGTTCTTATTAGGTCCATGGGTCATCTGTTTCTGCCATATTTCACAACCTTAATTATAAAATTACTCCCAGAGGGTTATTCCTGAGAAATGCAGATTTATCTGTAAGTTTGATGCAGGCAGAATAATGGTGAAAAAGTGCTTTAAGAACCAAAAGACTGTCTACTAATCTGTCATGACAGGCTAATTAGTAATATAGCTAGTTACTAATTTAGCTTAGGATAGTATTGGTGAAGAACTTACTGCTTAAGTCCTTCTGAAGTATCATTTAGATCTTAAGAATAAGATCTGTAAGTCTGGACGAAATGTGGTGCATACTTTATTCTAACATGATGTCAAGCATTGTAAACCTAATTTACATTGTAAGAAGAGAACTGGAAGAACGTTTACTCCCTGCTGTAAGCTTATTATTTCTGAAGTTTTATGAGCTGCAATAAATGCAGGTTCTGGTGTGAGTTGTCATAAAAATCACATATGAACTTAAGGGGAGGTGGTTAAAAAACATGAGGGTTTTTGTATGAATTTTTTTTCTCCCTTACAGTAAAGGATGAAAGTACTTGCATTTGCTTTGGGTGTTAGTGTAGTTCTCAGTGTAATGGTTTGAGGCACCACAGGAATGAGAAGAAATTCAGGCTTACTATTTATAGTAATAGGAAATTAAATGGGTAGTTTAGTAATGTAGTAGAACTGTCAAGCTGATGTGACTTGCAATCATTTTTCCCATGTTTTTTTAACTATAGCAGTTGTTGATAATGTTACGCTTACAAATCTTCAGATATTTATAATATGCATGAATTACATGTGATTGTACATATGATCACCCTATAGTTTGATGTTATTATAATGTAAGAAATGGTTTGACCATGATTCCCATTGTGCAATTTCTTGGAATAAAATCCTCTTGGTATTTAAACTCATTATTCTTTAGATTTCTCCCTGTAGTTAGTCAAAATCTTCAAAACAATCCAGTTACATGTCTCTCAGAGCTGGATTTTCTTCGTTAGGCCGGGTTTGCCAAAAGGACGGAAAATTGTTGCAGATGAGTTTCTCGACCCCAGACAATTATGGAGACTGCAGGGAAGATGGATTCCAAGGATTGGTTCAGTTTGTCATGAGGCACATTTTTGCCTAAGTTGGCCCACTGCTTTTCTCAGCATTGTTTTAAGAAGGACATTACCTGTGAACTAACAGGGAGAGACTGAGTAGAAAATGTGTGGGAAAGGAGCTATAGCCACCCCCCTTTTCAGTTATTTATAAATGTTTATGAAAAACGAGAACTTCTTCCTAAAAGATACCTTTGGTGTATGTTCTCATACAGTTAAAAGTGGCAATGTGACAGGATAAAACTGAGTGAAATACCCCTTCTGTATATCAGCCAACAAAACATTCACTATCAATCATCAGACTGAGTTCAGCTGGGCACTTTGAAGCCAACACAGTATGTTTCATAGTCAAAACCAGTACTTTCCTGTAATTCTCTTTCTTTCCTCCCAGGGAAGAGCTGTCACTTTAAGTGCTTCTCCTCATTTCAGCTGTGACAGTGTGCATTATAATATCAAAATTCAGAACAAACAAAGTAGATCTCCAGCATGTAAAATCTGTTCCTCTAACTGATTAAAATAACACTACTTACCTGATGTGAAAAGTTAACTCTCTTACTGATTTTCTGAAATGCTCCTTCTACTTTTGGCTTGATTTGTGGGGCATTGCAAAGGGATCCTGGCACTATTTATTAGTATAACATGCCTATGATACACCTTGTTTACAGGCTGATCATCCTCCTTATGTATCTCTAATGTGCTCACCTTCCTGCTCTGTTGTAATATTTCTGGGTGAAAGGTAGTTTGAGTTCTGTGGATTTGTTAGGGTTTGCATGAGATATCTAAACATCTAAATTATTTTTACTCAGCTGGTCTTATTATTTCAGCATTGCCTTCCCAGATCTTGAATCTTTTGTCTTCATTCTCCTCAGTTTACTGAGTTGAATGATGTTTATTTTGAATAGGCTGCCTCATGCACAGTGAGATCCTACATGGTCTTCTGAAGGAATGAGTTGAGGTGGCCTCATGTCAGCTCAGTCACCGCTGCTTGCTTTGCCTTGGATCAGCTAGCAGTGCTTTCATAGGAC